GCGAAAAATCTTAATTCGAAGTGCATCGCCTTCGTGTGTCAGAAGCTTCCGGAATAATCACTGTTTTGAGGATTTTTTACCAAAATTCTCAGCGAGTCTCCGGTCCCCTAAGCCCCACCTAGTAAGCTACTTGACTACGAGAACCCCTTGAGAGAGGTTCTTTCGTTCATAGTTCTGAGACTGGGTTCAATGACTTTGTTTTATATTATATTCTCCAGTCAAAAGTTATATACCTTAAGTAAACATTTTGAAATAGCCACTTGACGTTGTCTTTTTGACAATATCTTAGAAATGTAAACACCTTTTTGTGAATTATTTGATAGTCACAAGCTAATAAACCTTTCCAATTTTAATGTAATTGGTAAATAATTGTTGTCTTTTCAAAGTTTTGCCGTTGCCGCTATTAAACATCGTCACGACTTCTGTTCTTTTATTTTCGCGTGTTAAAACGTTCAGATTAACATATTGCATCACTATTTGCTTCCTAATCTTTCTGGTTTTTTATTTAGGGACGAATTTTAGAGAAGGTCTTTTCGCTTTGATTGACCTGTTTAGAAATAGATTCGAGGCTATCTGTTACTTTAAATCGTGCGCAATTGGTATTTTTGACTATGTACAGTTAGTGACTAAGTTAATGCTCCTTTTGTGTGTTATTTGCTGTATAAATTGCGATCTGACGCCTAAAAAATGAGCCAACTAAGGTGTGGTTTAGGCTTGACACGCGAATTCAGGGCCCTCGCCATGGGCGGGGGGCCATGGCTCCCACTTTTTTGGTAAGCAAAAATGTTTCCAGAGAGGCCCTGTTTTGAAGCACTAAATCCAAGTTCGACTTATAGAACTTGGCCCTCCCCCTTGAAATTCGTGGCGCGGGCCCTGGAATTTCCTCTCAATGAAATTTGCAGTCGTGTGCCATCTCTAGACTCGAGACTTCTATCTTTTGGGTAAGGATGATTTTGACTTGAAGCCACTTGACTCCATTTAGTCTTGTATACCATGACATATTCCTTGAAAAATTTCTGCCAATGATATTGCTTGAATGAAAGATAAAGGGTTTCATATAAGATAAGAGTAATGGCATTTTCAATTTATGAGTGACTATTTGCGAAATAATTTTGCAGATGTTAGAGAAAAGTCGAAGGCATTTGCAATGACCATCCGATATTTCTGCCTCCCTTCGAATGATTATATGTGATTCGCAAGCTGGCGAGGTTTCATCCAATTTGAAAATCTTCTATCATCCTATTTTCAAGAAGTTTACTGACCAAAAATTTTTTGATCGCCCATTTGGAAAATTTTCAACTTTTGCCAGGAAAGTCGTAGGAAGCCTCACACTATTGGAATATTTTCTAATTCTTTCGCTGCTGTTCAGCTGGTGTAAAAGATTATCATTAAAGCACTACTCACAGCGGATCTTCTAATTGCTTGTCTAAGGTTCTCTTTCGCAAAACTATGCACCTATTGTTTCAGCACAAGATCATTGTAGTTGATGCATCTTGATCTCGGTGGAAAGATTAAGATATACAAAAGTCTATTTGAATCGAAAAGTGATTGATGTATCACAAGGTTCAGCTTTTGGGCCTCTGCAGTTTAAAATATATTCCAATGATTCCATATTTGTGAAAAATGCCAAGCTTTGCAAATATAGGCGTTACAAAACACGTACAGTTTTATATCAATATTTTAAGGGGGTTATCTAGGTTTTGATCACAAATCATGTCTCCTAGACATAAATGTAATTATTTCAACAATGACAGGACTCACAGATCTGAAACTTACAAAAAATATTTATTTATAACTTGGAAAGAAATTTTCCAAAAAAAAATTCAAATCATTCGACCGGTCTGTATTTTACAGACCACTTTGTCGGAACACTATTTTCACTTTGAGAAAAGATTTGAGACAAACAGTTTGATGTAATTTAACCATAAAGATACCAAACAACTTGCCAAGTTGATGTTACTTGAATGAGCAGAGGGATTTCTCCTCCAGGCAATGGTTGCTAATATTCGAAAATGGCTTTGAAAGTTTATAAACAACTTTTTTACAACAAATGTTATCATAATGACAGAAAAGAACTTTTTATCATAGCCAGTATGCATCAGATTGTGCCTCCTTTCTCAGAGGACAAATTAAAACAGGCTGTCCTACTATTTGATTCTTTTTTGTCATGTTCCACAACCAGAGGTATATTGTGTTCATTGACAAATTGACAAATGTAATGCCATTATCATCAGTTGACGTCATTTTGTTCTTTTGGGTCTTCTTTCTGTTTTCTGTTTTTGTAAAGACAGTCTAGAGAACATTGTGGATGCTGAATCTACCAGCCATGTAATCTTGTCCTTTTTTATTTTTGCTTTATTCTTTATAATGTTCTTGAGATTAAGTGTCGCCTTTTGGTGTGAAGCATCAGCCTCATTTGAGTAACAACAACACTCACACTTTTTCTCCAAGTCATTATATGTTGCACGAGGAAGTGGAAATGGAAGGTTAAAAGCAGTGCAAAGCTTTAGCATATTTGTCAGCCAAAGACCAGTCTCAATACCAGCTTAAACACACCTGACATTTACTTTCGATGATTTTCAAATGGCATTTTACATTCTTGGGCTTGTATGAAAAAGAGTACTACCTTGGCAATGGATTGGTACATTTAAGGACAAGGGGTTCATCCAAACCAACTTGCTTGCCATCAACTTTTAACATAATAAGCTTGCCTTTGGAGCTTTTACAAGATCCAAAGATTGCAGTTTGAGATAGCATATGCTGTAACTTATTGACTCTTGTGAGATTAAAGCCATGTGCGTCTTGATGACATTATTGTTCAGAAACAAACTTTGGTTTTATTAATTGTTACAGACTCTAATCCAAGTGATCTTGCTCTTTTTCTTGTTATAACTTTGCTTTAATCTTTTTCAAAAATTGGACAATGTCTTGAGATCTTTTGGAATATCGGTTTACTTTCTCAAGTGTTTATCTGGGGTCGAAGTGGATGGGCCTACGTCAAATGTCCTAGTTTCATCCCTGCTCTCATCTTCTTCTTCCTTGATTATTTCTGCTTTCTATTTCCAGTAAATGTTCTTCGCTCTTCACGGTACTTCGATGTATTTTACTTCCAACCATACTTAATAATATCGGTAATATTAAATTTATATCTTCATTCTAATTTGTCGACCGATTCTACAAGTTTTCATGCCACCTCAGCTCTCTCCAAATATTCCCTGCTACTTCATGTAAAAGCTATTACAGAACACCAATTTAATTCAGTTCAATAAATGGGAGGACAAAATTTGCGTGGTTAAAAACGAAAATTCGGGGCTCAACAGTAAAAAAAACCCCATAGCAACCAAAAATAACAAGGTTGCTAAGGAAATTTACTTTGATGTACTTATAGAAAAAGTGATTTTGTAGCCAAATAAAAGTAAAAAATGGCGAACTGTAAGTGTGAGGGTAAAGTCCAATAGTTTTTAGACCTTCTGCAACCTAAAGCTCAAAATATTTGAAAAACTTATTTTAAAGTGAAAAAACCTAGATAACCACCTTGTGATTTCTATGAAATAAAGTGACATAAAATGCTGACACAACGGAAGAAACGTTGTATGGTACAATATCGAGAACTGAATAATGAATAGACAAATAGTGAAATCATATTATGTTCAACTAATGTCCTCTTCATGTGACTATGCAATAAGATTTGAACGTTTTCAGAAAAGGGCTTTGCGAATAGCTAACAAGATATGAGATCAGGTTTTGGTGTTACTTGGAGACAATTCTCTTTCAATCTGCGCAAGGAATTAACTATTGCTTATGTCTGGAATCCTGGAGACGAATCATGGCCTTAATCTAAGCTTCATGGAAAAAAAATATTCCATGTAAGTTACGAGGCTCCACGCACTACGGGGCTTAGCAAAGATATGATTGATCTAGGCTATATTTTACAATGTCAGGAACTGGGTCAGATGTTCACTCTTGTTTTAAAGCGAACATCATAGTGTGGATGGACATGTAATTCAGTTTTGAAATATGTAGGTTACTTATCATAGCATTTGTTGCAAACTTGAAAACGTCTAGGGTCAGTATAGCTGTTCGTTTTCTTTTTGCTAATTAATACTGAAACTGATGAAGCATTCCAATTCAAAAATTTTTATGTTTTATTTGTTTTTTGAGCACTTTTATTATTGTATCATTAAGTATTCGTAATCTTGGAGCACGTTAATTGGTCATGTTTTAAATTATTAAGAAATACTGAATACATTTCCATGTTTAGCCTCCAGTGGTTCACCGAAAATATCTCTGAAACTGTTCTTTCGCAAAATTTTCTTCGTTAGAATATTGTTTAGTTGTTGTTGTGGAGGAATTAACACAATTCTGCCAGCTGTTTCTTCAACTAGTGAGTTAAACCCATGCCAACCCATGTTTCTTATCCGAAGATGAGTTTATTGGAAACATTTTACTTCGAATGCAATGGCCAGGGTTCTTCTGGAAAACAACACATAAAGCTATTTCTGTAATTTTATTAAAGTTGTTTCTTAAACCAGACGCTATTTTTAATTAACCTTTAGTGTCGCTACAATAAAACCCTCTGCTGAGGATAAAGGCCAAGAACCTGTAAATGTTGTGTAAGTCGTGATTTCGATACTCGTACGGTTGTGGTTTTCGACCAGGCTCCATTCCTTCTTCCATGCAAGCGCCACTTTAATCCGCTGCTGATTCGAGCATCGCGGATGGATTGCCTATACCACAATGCTTTGTGACTTTGCTGTTGTGATGGCGACTGCCGGATGCTGCGGTGTATGTTGTAGAATCCGCTAAGAGCTTTTGGTTTATTTGAAATATTGTTGTCAGACCTAAAGATTCGCTTTTACTGCTTTTCTTCATTCCCTAGCTGGACAGAAAGAGTCATTTCGCACATATCGAATCAAGAGGAACAATTTTGGCGGTAAAGACCCAAGGAGTTGTGAAAAGGAGGCTGTTGTCTTGGAGACGTAAGTCTGTAAATCTGAGCCAATATTTTATTTCCTATAAATTCTTATTGTTTTGCCTTTTTCCGAAATCTAATATTGAGTCGTTTGTCAAGCTCCGGAAAATTCACCAGGTAAGAAACTTTTTTCTTTGGTTCCTATGTTCAGTTCAACCGCAAATGTCTATTTCCTTTTTTCATTGATTTTTAAATGTTATATTGGACCTAATGATGATGTTCACCTTAATCATATATTTTGTTCCTCTGGCATTCCCTTTGAGTCAATTGATACCTATTTCGCTCTGCGTTTTCTTTACGATGCTGCGCTTTTTCTGTTTTCGATGTCCGATGTTTCTGATTTCTTGTGGACGTGGACAGGAAAGAATCAAGAAGAAATTTTATTGTTTCGCAAGCCAGCTAGGGTCTTGGAGCACTTAAGATCTCTCTTAAGAAAGCAGGGTACGCCTAAGTTTAGGAGACTGGAGGAAAGCCTCATTTCATTTTAGTATTTTATCGGTGTCCTGTGAAAATCTCTGAGATTGCCTCCATATATTCCCACGGTTTACGCCCAAATATACCATGCAGATTTTGAGCTGTTTCCAACTTTCCAAATAGCTGGACTACACTTGGACCAGAGCTACCCATTTCTTCGAATGTCTCCCTTCATTCCATGGTTCTCCGGGGACGAATCCTTTTTTATAGTTAGAGATGCGCCTTATTTCGGATTTAATTTTGAGCTGTTTCCAACTTTCCAGATAGCTGAACTACACTTGGGCCAGAGCTACCCACTTCTTCGAATGTTTTCCTTCATTCCATGGTTCTCCAGGGACGAATCCTTTTTGTAGTCAGAGATGCGCCTTATTTCGGATTTCAATTTGAGTTGTTTCCAACTTTAGTTTAATGAAAGAATCCTCATGTAAACATATACTAAGGTAATTTGTGTCAACAGGCATAATTATACAGCAAAAGCTAAACCTACCTTGATGTAGTTCTCGGTGATCAAGAATGTTTATCATTCTTTCATCCAAAATTTCCAGAACATTCCTATATTTGGTCTTAATCTCGAATTTCTACATGCGTATACGAAACATGAGGCTCAAATTTCTGAAAAAAATAAAAAACATTTAAGAAAAAGAAAAAGAAATAAAGAAAGACACCGAAAATTGATACTTTTTAATGTTTACAAACACAAATGAATCACTTCTATAAAGCAAAGTGTTTTTAAAATCGAACTTTCAAATACAGAAATCTAAATGTCCTATTTAGAAACAATAAAGACACATTCGACGTTTAGATTGCAAAAATTTAAGGAACACCGAGGCACAACTCGTTTGCTTTATATAAAAAACGTGTAGCTGTCGACCCCTTGAAAGCACACATTTTGTCCCATTGCACAGTTTTTTATAAGAATACCTAATTTTTTGCCGAACCTCAATATTCTCAATTTTTTTAATTTTGAGCGTAAGATTATTCTTAAATTATTCTTAAGCGACACAAGGTGCAATTGAGTTTCATTATAGTGTTAATAGCTACAAGGCCTGATATGTCTATTCTAAAACATATAGCGTGAAACTCGCATTTGATTTGCTTTCTCAAATACAACTCAGATAAACAAAAACTTTAATTGTTGATTAAACTTTAGCCTTGCATTATTCTTGACTTCGTAACTTTCAGCAATTTTGAGCCTTAATATTCTTATAAATGAAAGTGTGTACACGCGCACTGCGTTTTCCAGCAAAGCGTCACAAATGCGACAGGAGTGTATAATAGTCCAAAACATCAAATTCAACTGTATAGGCAGCATGGAGACCACTGAGGAATTTTAAAACACAGATTTGTATTGTGGTCTTGAGGAGAAATCTGAGTGACGCCTTATTGGTTGTTTCCACCAGCAATATTCTCGTTGTCATGACAAATTAAGGCCTTCTATCCCACATTGTCAGAACGTGTAATCCAGGTGGAAAGCCAATGTAAATTGGACACAATCACATATAGCCCTGTTCCTTGAATGGCGCCATTCTTTCTGTGAATCAGATATAATTGAGAAAGTTTGAAAGTTTAGCCTCGTTTTGATATATTTTTCGCAAGCGGGTTGTGCCCAGGCCTCCAGATGTGCTCTCTCGGGTCACTGATTTTCCGACAGTCGGAGTCTTCAAGTAAAATTCCAAAATCTTCTTCTTCTTTCTCTAGACGAACTCTCTTTTGTCTCAAATTTTGGACTTGTTTTGTTAGAATTCGTCCTTATATAAGAAAACGAAACTGAGTCATTAAGTTTTTAATAATAACCACAATTTTCGAAACAAAGCTTAAATGTTCCCTCGTTGATTCGTTTCATCGCTGATTTTTTCAATGTTTGAAATTAAAATTTTTGAAATAAATTTTTCAAAGGTTCCCCCACTGATTTTTATTCTTTAACTTTGTTTGTCTGTCGCCAGTTTGGAAGAAAACAGTATCACATGATCTGATTCTTGTGCCAAAAATTCTTTATCTTGCTTTTGTGACGTGTATCCTCATAATGTTTTCGCTATCCCTTGTAAACAAAGACTTGTCTATATTGCCCCGTAGAAAATGGTTCGGTCATCCAGTTTACTCCAGGGGGTTGGAGAACGGCATTGCTTGTTATGTTTCAATATTTCAGCATAGCATAGAAATTGCCATTTAATTGCTGCTAGTATTTTAATCACCGACGTTTAGATTGTTATGAGTTTTATAATAGATCACACATCACGAAGGTACAACGTTTGCCCAAAATTTGGTGACCATGGTCCCTGCCCGTGTCGTTTGGATTATCCCTGTTGGTTTCTAGTTCGGGACAATAGTGGGTTTAAGTGGGGGGGGTGTGGCGAAAAAAGGAAGGGGGGTTGAACTGGGACGCTTTCCTATCTGCTTCTCTAGTTTGCTCGTGAATTGCCCTTGCTTTGCTGTACCCCACTTCATGCCCCAATCTGTTGTTGTTTCCCACGAATTCTATTTTAATAATGTTCTCCATATCATCTCCTTCAAATTGTGCTCTTCCCGCAATCTTTGTTAACAGAAAAGAATGAAGGATAATTATCATCTTTAAATGTCCACAAAAAACAAGACTATATGAAACCATACTGTGGTTTTATCATACTGATCCTTTGATAGAGACCAGCTTTAGTTTCAGTTTTATTTTGCTCTTATCACATGGATTTCTGTACACGGGGGTTTGTTGTGAAATACTATATCATTGAAATGAAACGAAAGGAAATCATCAAATCGCAATTTCGTAGTTTCAAATGAATTAGCATAACCAGAATTTAGAAGATTTTTAACATTTACACAAAGAGCGACCTATCTTTCAGTCTTGTTTCATTTGCACTCGTTTTCAAGGTTGATCCAAACCCTAATATCATGTAAATTTATTTAATTTTCTTCTGCTTGAAAAACAGGAAAAACCCTTTTCAGTGTTCTCAGTAAACTCTTTTTCTCAAGATTCAGTAAATTCGAATTCAGCTGACTGGTTTTGATTGTTTCGAAAATCTGACGCTGGATTGTTCTTAATTTGTTTTTAAATTATTTGGGTGTAAGCAGTGCGATTGCTAGCTTTTTCGCTCTATTGAGGTGTTCAGGACTCATTTGCCAACAAAGTGAGTGAGACAACCTTAATTCGCTGACAAATTTGGATATTAACTAAAAAAAAAGAACCCACACATCGTTAAAAATCCTCGATTTGGAGAAAAACCGATGTTCAAAATTGCATTTTGCAGAAGCTCAGCCTCGGCTTGTTCTTAATTTGTTCTCAATTTTTGACCAATTCTGAGGCTCGTGTTCTTATAAAATTGTTTTTACAAAAAGAAAAGATTGAATTGTTTAAAAACCTTATTTGTAGTCTTGTGAATTTTAATCTACCATTAGCTACTTTGTTTGACATCGATACACCTGTAAATTATTCACCATGCTGTCCCCCGTCCTTGTGCGTGATATACACCCATTCCATTAAAGGTAAGTCTTGAAACGGCCCTCTCAGCCATCACTCAGTCAAAGCTATTGAATTCTCTCCTGTCTCATTGCAAACCAGCCCAATCAAACTGTGGCCTCGAAAACAGATCCGCCGGTTGTAGCTTAGGGACTTTGGTACTTGCACTTCGAAAGATTGATTCCAGACATCGTGAGTATGTTTAAGTTTTATTTAGGCCGAATAGTAAACGCTGTCGTAATTGATATAAAAACTTATCTGTTATTTTGGTATGACGGAAGTTTTAAAATTTATTCGAAAGTTATTATACAAAACCATGTTTAGCTAGGCGTTCGCGGCGGGGCCAAGCTTTGGTTCTGCAAATTGTAGCCACATAACCGATTATAATCTAAAGCTCACCCTCTAATGTTTTGTAATTCTTGACACTAAATAAGTCATTTTTTGTCACCTATCAAGTCAAGATATTGATTGCACTTTGGTTTGCGAAAATTTTCGGTCAGTTTTTAACAGAACCATGTTTTGGCCTAAGATATAGTAGAAACAGAGAAATTGTCTAGGTTTGGCAAAATGGTGATGACTTGCAACTGACAGATGTCAATGGTATGGCATTTATTTTGGACAATGCCAATAAAGTAGTGACGGAAGGAAATTGCGTATTTTGAATAATTTCCCAGCAAATTGCGTCAGTGTTTCATGTTTTCGTGGCTGACTAGCTGTGAGTGGAATTTACCGAGGGGCAAATCCCTCCATGAAAATCTGGTACACCTTTCGCGGAAATCCTATCGTTTTATCTGAAAATCCATAGAAATCCTTTTGTGTTTGTGAAAATCCTGTACGCTATATTTAGTGAGTTGCCCCACGGAATTGACTGAGCTGTTTTTATCCGCTGAGAACGTACATCTTTCCCAAGACTTTGAAGATGCCTCTTTGAATAGTTGATAAACCCCGTTGATTAGGATGATTTTTCACCAAGCTGAGTTTTCATTCCCCGGTTATGGCCTCTTGTTCCCAGCCTCTTTTCGTGCCGGGAAAATTGTGATTGCATATGAAGGAAAGCAATCGTCCTTTTATGAATAGACTCGGTCAATCAGTTTCACAGAAAAACAAACTTTACCTGCAGTTTCTTTATTTTCATTAGCATAATTATAATGTTGTGAAATCAATAAATGTTTCGAACGCTTCATAGCTGGTGTTTGCAGGCATGTCGCTTATTGTAACGGGGAGCGGTTATTGATTTTTTCGTACAAAATTGTTGAGAGTAACCTGGCAAAATTCAGCACTGTTATAAAGAATAATTTTGTGTTCCACTAAAAGGAAAACACAACACTAAACAAAATGACACGACACGATACGACACGATATGTCATTGTAAAGCACCACACATCTTCCCACAACAAAGCTATTGAAATCGACACGACATTGCAATGCAACCCAACACGACACGAAACAATGCAACACAACACGACGCGATAAACCCAACATGATGCAATACAACACAACACCGGGCAACGTAACAAAACACCACAAAACTTAACACATCATCACGTAACATAATACAACACCACAAAACGTAACAGCACCATGCAGTGCTACGCAACACAATGGAATGCAGCAAAACGGAATGCAACGCAACACAATGCAACGCAACGCAACAAAACCCGTCGCAACACGAAACACTCGGACCAAGACTCGACTAAACCGCAAAAACTTTCACGCATTTGACAAATTAGACAAAAACTGTTTCTTTTTCAATTTCTTTGTTGTCAACAAATCAGAGCATATGTTTCGTCCCCAAACCAACCATGCAACTAAAATGTCTTTCCAAGCTGTCATGAACCGCTTAAGCCGTTTCCATTTTGCCTTCAGCGACACAAGATAACAAAATCAAAAAATCATTACTGACCTTTATGATAGGAAATTATTTAATGGAAGTTTTCCCGCCCTGTTCAAATGTGGTAAATGATCTCTCATTCCACAAGCCTCAAAATGACACAGAAAGAAACAGATAACCTTTCCAAGATTATTTTTTAGTCAATTTTTGTTCATGAAATGACCACAGCTATTCGTGTCACGACAGTGCTTCATACTATCCCCCGTCCCTAAATAAATTTTCCTCAAGTGTCTTTTGCCACTCTTTATGCTCTTTACTGTATAGCTTACAATCATGTTCACGTTTTCTTATTTTGTATTAAACGCTTGCTGTAATTTGAGATTTATTGTTCATTTGTTATGAAAGCAGTTTGTGTTGGCTATGGGCCATTTCGGCCTACAAGCCTTACATGAAAAATATACTTCTTAAAGTTGACAGGTAATGGCAGGGCGTCGCGTTTCATAATGTAAACAGAAAATCATTTTATGAATTTCTTGGTGGTATTATAGAATTCATGATTTTTATGATTGTTCTTGCTGCAGATGGAATTTCCAGCAGCTCTATGTTTGCAGGTGTTCGGTAGCTCTGGCAGCCATTTTCTTATTACTTACCCCACATGCCTACTACATCAAATTTTAACCTCCAAAGTTTTTTGTGTTTGTTTAGATCGGGGAAATATGGATGAGAATGGGTACAATGATGAAAATGAGTCTGGAATGCCACGTCTTAGGACAAAAAGCGAGACACTGGCAGAGCTGCGCCGCAAAGAGAATGGGCAGAAACGAGAAGTGACGAAAGTTGACTACACTTCTCACTTGAAAAAAACGGAGAAACCTGAAAACGTGTTACGTGAAAAAAAGAAAAGTAATGACACCCCAAATTATCTGCAACATTTGCGAAAGACTGACACAGGTGTATCAACCCAGCCAGAGTATATAAGGTTGGCCAAAAGTGCTGAAGCCGAAGGAAAACAAAGCGGGAAGAGAGTCAATGCAGAGGATTTGATAAACATGGCATTCAAAAAGGCTGCAGACGCAGAAGAGAGAGATCCTGCGAATAGGCGCGGAATGGCCAACAAATCAGCTGGATCACAAAAAACAACAAACGCTGTTGGTTCTTTCGAAGGTATCAAAGTTACAAGTGATACGAAAGAGGATTACAGATCCGCTTTGAAACAACATGTGCAGGTTGAGAAGAAAGCAGCTGCAAAGAAACAAGAAGAAAAGCCAAGCTGGGCTAATGTTACCCCCAAAAAAATACTTGATGCAGATATCATGTCGAAATCCAAGGAGGTGAAGCAAGAAAAGCCAGAATGGGCGCAGTTTGTGCGAGGCACCAAGAAAAATATCCTTGGGCTGGAACATTCGAAATCAACAGAAAAATCTCAAGCACCGGAATGGGCCGACCTAGCAAATAAAACTGATCGAAAAAGACTGATCCAGCTTGAAAGCAAGAAATCCACTAATTCAGAAGCTCAACCCGAGTGGGCTGGGAAAGCGCGTGACCCGAAAGAAATCCTTCGTGTAGAGCTAAAAACGAGCAAGAAATCAACTGGTGAGGAGTCACCTGATTACAAGGGTGTGCTTCGAAGAGGGTCTAGAAAAGAGTAAGGACACTTGCTTATAAAGAGACTCTCTAAGCTTAGTGCAGCTTTTCCTGATTATTTCTGGAAATCTAAAATTTTAGGTAGAGCTTTCGTCAAATCTGATATAGTCCTACCTTTCTCTCAATCAACGGTCATGAAATGAGATTTATTTAGAAATCAATAGAGTTTCTCCAATCATCAAGAAATTCTTCATAATTGTAAACGGTTTGTCATAACCGCCTTGGCGATTTCTTTGAATAAAACCCTCAGTTAAGAGTGATGGGTAAAAATGACGCCCTTAAAAAAATTGTGCGTCGTTAAGAGAGTTTTCATAAACAGAATATTCGCAGACATTCTTCTGCTATTGTCGCTCAGAGAGGATTTATTTTCCTGTTAAAATCAAGGATATTTCAGACTCTTAGTCAAAGCTTTGGAAAATGATGATTCGAAACTGCTGGTGAATCTCAGTGTACTTTTAAACTATCAGGAAAGAGGCGTATAGCAAATTCATCTTTACCAGGCTCAATTGTACTCATGTTCTCGATGTTTTGCCAAGGTGTTATAACAAACAAATTTTCACAATGCAAATTTTTTCTTATGCATCTTGTGTCTAATATCATATCAGGAATAGCAATTGTTGTATTTTAGTTTCAGTTCATTTGCATATTATTCATAAAAATCCAATTTATCAAAACAGTTGTTATTCGAAAACAATATTGCTATTTCTTATTTGCGTAAGTCTTTTAATTTTTCGTGACTGATTTCTGTTTTTTTGCGGTAAGCTGTCTCCATTTCTTGGGCACCAACAACCCTCCAATTTTTCTGTGAGTTCAAATCTTGTATCTGAAACTGTTTCTTAAAATTTAGGGAAGAAATGTATTGTTACCAACAATACATGCTCTTGTAACAACATACTGTCAAAATGCATTGTTTTATTTTCCATTACGATGTTCAAATCTAAATTAGTAGTTCATTCAGACTTCCAAGTAACGAATCTAAAGATCTTTAGATTTCTTTATGAATCTCGCTAGTTAGTTGCTAAAATATTTCTATAAGAAACTGCAGCAAAGTCTGTATTTGCGTGAATGTAATTCCAAGTTTGATTTTTTGTAAACAATAATTGGTGTTTCCTATTCTTCTGTCACATGGACGCCAAGTGATGTGAGATCACTACTGTCGAAGTATGGTTCTTCGATTTTTCATTTTTATCTTGAAAATAAATTTTACCTCAAGGCCCTGTTTGAGGGTATGCTAGTCATTGACTTCCCTCGAAATCTTGAAGGTTTTATTAGTGTGCCCATCGACAGAAATCTATTCAGCATTAATTTTGTACCCACTGCATCAAGCACTCACTCTCCACAGGCTATCCCACTAGGCCCATTCCACTTTGAGTGCACATTTAAGGCATTTTCGATCAAAGATTGCCTTCATAGAACCTTGTGGTAAACGGCCTTCCATTATTTACTGTACAATTTCCATTCTATCACTAATTGGACCAATGGTCGGTCAATGCATTTTCTATCTATCGTTAAAAGCTCTCCATCTTTAAAAGCTTTCTATCGCTAAAAATCGTTTCTATCGTTTCTATCATTTTCTATCAATTCTCCCTCTTTTTACAACATGACTATTGATAGTAATGGGCCTCAGTCTCTTCTACGAGTTTGTGCTGATGTGATCTCTGTAATTTTCATGTGCACTAATTGGGGGCTCCCTCTATCCATATTCGTGGGCGCAGCGGAAGGTGAACGTTCATGGGGAGGGGGGTTAGTATGGATCTTGCCTGAATTTTGTTGCCCGAATTGAGATAGAATTGTCCGAATGGGTGTGAAATTCGACAAACTTTTCAAGATTGAAGGGGGATGTAGCCCCCAGCTTCATGCCTCCGACGCCTATGTTTAAATGTGGCACAAATCATTCTTTCCTTCCTCGATGGACTCTTCTGCTTCGAAGTTCTCCGTTTATTGAGTTCTTGAACGAAACCGTGAGACAATGTCTGTGTTCCATGCATCTAGGCTAAAGGTGTCAATAAGTCATGCATCTAGGCTAAAGGTTTCAATGAGTCTTCTTACGACTTCTGAAAATACGTTTTGAATCGGTGACGTCACAATAAGAAATTGTCTACGCTGATATAGAGGTTTAGCTGTTTGTGGCAGTGAATGTTTTTTGTTGAAATGATATCTTGTCGTATGGGTTTGCTCTTTTATATTGCTTCTGTGTGGTAGCTGATGTTTTGGCCATTCCAAGCTCACTTTGCAGTTCTTTTGATGACGTTTAAGAGGTTTTTCGACTACCTTGGTCCCAGACTTCTGTTCCCAATGTTAATGATTTGCCTTTATTTCAGAAATACAACTGTTGCATTTTCTTTTTAAAACAGCTTCTAAACCTTGTACCAATCTGTCATTTACGGTCATAATTTGTTGTGAGTTATTTTTACAGAAGATACAGGACATTCATAGATGTAAGAATTAGGCTTGACCCGAATTTGGGCATTGGTCGCATTTAAGCTTGGACCCAAACTTCATTATTCCCATGTTTTGAAGCATTTTAAAAAAGCTATATTTCTGATCAGTTTTCTCTGGTCAGTTTTCTCTTCTTTTTAGGCACAAATATGTCACTAAATATTCCTGACTTCATCTGTTCAGCTTTTTCTCATGAAATCTTAAAGCCAATTTTAAATTATTTTTCGTTAAATTAAGCTGTATGAAAGATTTTAGACACTTTGTAATCATAGTCAACTTTCTAGAAAGATAAATTTAGTTTAAGACATACTTCTAGAAAATTTGACCGAACAGAATATCTGACCGTGCAAATTAGTTTAAAAATCTTCAATTTTCTTCTCTTACCCTTATGACGTAATAAGATTCCTGTGTAAGATTGCATCTTCTCTGTTGAAAGAAAATCAATTCTATTTTTCCATGTCTTGCAGCATTAGCGCAGACAGTTAACGTGTTCCAAAAAGAAAATATTCAAATCCTACAAAGCTGTCTTTTTCTGTCTTTACTGTCATAAACATTTTGCAAGGAAAACTGTCTCGATAACAATAAAGTTTAGCACAGGTAATGCTTTTCTACCTTTCTTGGATAAAGAAATGATAATAATTTCTAATGCAGATATTTTCATGCCTCGATAGATATTTTCATGCCTGGATAGTTATTTTCAAACTTCAACACACTTTTCGAGTTTGGTGTTGCTGAGTTTCAAAAGTTTTTCCAGTGCCATTTCTTTCTGTCGCATTCTTGAATTCACTAGTAAGCACTCTTCCTAGCTGTTACGTATAACCCAACTTCCCTGAAACACTGTAAATTTTTGTTGAGTTAACTTTTCTCAGTAAATGATAAACCACAAATTCTAAGTACGGGATTTTTAAAGCCTCTTTTTTGGGACCATTTAAAATGACGTAGAAAGACTAACGACTGGGGTATTTTTGTTAATTTATAGTGACAGAATTTGACTAAAGCCTTAACTGCCAGGAATGTACTAAATTTAGTGTGAAATTTGTGGGAAATTTCAGTGATTTCCGTCAATGATTCTGAGTTGCACGCATTGCACGATTTGTGTTTGGGTTTAAAAATTCTTTCACAAAATGGAGACAGCTTGCCACGCAGTTTTTTAGTTAATTAACCAACTCAAGTTTTTCCTTCTGTATGCTTATCATTTTACGTGAAGTATCTCTTCTGTATGCAGGTCGATAACGTTTGGCGAACTGCAAAAAGCTCTTGGGGAGGAAGAAGAAGACAGAAGCATGGGTTGGAAACTTATTGATAGGCTCATGCTTTTGGATATCCCTGAACAATCAAAATCAGATAATCTGAATACAATTCATGAAGACTTCTTTGATCAAAATGCGAATGAGGTGAACAAGAGGTCGAATCAAAATGGCCACGATAAGGAAAATGGCGTCAATTCTGACGACGTTTTTGATGAAAAACCGATTCGAAGAAAATCCTCAAGCTTCTATCAGCAAGGACGTCGAAAGTCCAGTGTAGCTAGATTCTCGTAAGTCATATTATTTAAATAAGCTTATAGATATTGATTTTTGCCTATAAATTGAGTCTAAATTAAAGAAACTTTGCAAAAGTGGTTCAGCACAAAAGACGTTTGATTGTTTTTCAAATGAGCCCAAGACTTTACAGCTACTGCCGGAAACAAAAAATATATACCTAGTTTGAAATTGAAGTATCACATAAATCACTTCATCAACTTAAATTAAAGCCTTCAAGAAAAGAAGATTCAACCAGTTAGCTAGTTCTCTATTTTGATAGCTCAGTTTGAATAAAGTACCTTAATAGTACCTAACGATAAATAGACGGATTTATTTGTCATGATGCTCTGATCGCCTTCTGAGTAACGTCCGTAAAGTGAGGCAGTAGCGAAAAAAAGTAGCAATAATAATCATTATAATTCATTTTAGTCCAAGGCCAGAACACCACTCCCCCCCTCCCCCCTCCTAGAGCCTGCTTAATGTTAGACTGCTTACAACGTAATACTTAAAGAACAAATTAAAAACAATCCAGCAGCAAATTTTCGAAACGACTCAAGAACAGCCAGCATGACCTTAAATTTATTGGTGCTTAGGAAAAAGGTATAGCTCGAAGATGTAACGTTTTACGACAAAGTATGGGCCTAACAAAGTGTTAGGATAAATGACGTCATAAACTGATTTTCATTGGTGAAGAAATGATGAAGAACAGTGTCTTTTAGTTCGTATTGTTTTTTTCATTATGAGAAAACAGCATAAAGCGTTTGGACCCCTTTTAAGTTTAGCAAATTCATCTAAAATACATTTTCTTCGCATTTTCCCTGAAAAATGTTTGAAAAATGCAAATTTTGAAAAATACACTTGTTTGATCGAGCGTATCCGAGAAACAGGAGATCAAACCCCAAAAATTGGGGGTAACACTTGATCAACATGCAAATTTGTAATTTTCGCCCAGAACTACATTAGAAAAAGTTGGTGTCGTAAATTCACCGCCCGGGTGACAATAGCCCCCCATCCCCCCCCCTCCAGCCTTTGGACTATTATGTATTCATTGCTTCTGTACAATGCTTTGTGGTGCTGTCAACAAGAGTTGTTATTGTTGTAATTTTCTTTGATTAGGTTGGCCTTAGCTCTGCCTGTCAACCTCAGGCGCGAGGTGAGCACAATGCTGATGGACTGGGCGCAGGAAATAATGAAGGACTATGAGGTATCGTTTTTTCTTGCAATAAGCATTTCGAACGAACCGCAAGCCGCGAACAATATAGAATTACATTTGTCAGAAGTTGATTCCATAATAAATATTGATGTTAGCAAAAAAGTACAACCCTTCTCTTCTTCCCTCCCTCCTCCTTGAGTGACTTTGGTTTTTGTGCACCAAATACTGCTCGCACGCCTGTTGGATTCTATTTTCACAGTTAGTACTGGCTTTAAAAACCTTTTTGTTATATTTTATTACGCATCTACTATTTAAGATCAATATAAATCTCAAAACAATCAGTTTTCTACCTTACACTTTCTGAATATTTCCATCAACACTATAATGTTTTTGATGATCACACGAGACCTAATTTCTTTATAGAACTCTTCAGTAAATGACTTCACGTCTTCCTGGGATGACGGGCAAGCGTTTTGCAACATTATGCATTACTACGAGGATGACAAGGTTCCCGTCAACAAGTTAAACTCTTCGTCGAAAAGAGCAAATTTGATGGTGGCTTTCCAAGTTGCAAGGTATGTATGACGCAGCACATGCTAATGGCCTTGATATGCACATTAAACCTGTTTACCCTCGTATAGAGTTCATTTAAGATAACAGCAGTCTCGTAAAGTTCCAATAGCAGCCTCCTTATCAGTCCATTTCGTTTTTTATTCCCTGCCTTCTGTTATGTATTCAAATGTGAACTTTGCTGTTTTCGAAACCTACTCTCATTCAGCATATGCAGTGTATTTGTTTCAATTTCTTCGCTCTGCCCTTTACACAAAATTTATCTCTATTTCACTAGTTCTTTTGTTTATAGAACCAAAGAGATGTGTTTAGGTTTAACTCTACGTTGGATTTTAGACAAGGCCTAAATCAATTTATTTGTCAACAAGTCAAAGCTATTTTAATTGTAACGACCTAATTTTTCATTTTGGCATACTAAAAATGCACCATTTATCATTATTTTTTTTCTAAATGGCAAGAATCGTGCAATTGTCTCTTTTGAGAAGCAAACAAGACATGAGCTGAAATTTCAAAGACTTTTATCTAGGTTTCAAGCCTATTGCAGAGAAAAAATATCTTTTGGAAACGTAATGTAATTTCAATCTTAGCTGAGCTCAAACAAAAACAAAGCTAGGTTTTCAAGAGGCTGATATTCTAAGAGGGATGAAGGAGCAAATGTTATGTCCACAGACTAGAGTTTTTGTAGAAAATCTCAAAGATTTTGTTTTTGTGTGTCACAATTTTCAGTTGTTGTGATTGATAGATATGCCAAGCCAGAATTTGTTTCATTTAATTATGTAAAGTATGGCTATCCCTATTAAAAAGATGATGCAATAGTTATCACATGGCCTGATACATATTTACCTCACGCTAGCGATGCTGGGATATCTCTGCCAGTCACCGTCGATGAAATGATGAAAAGCAAAGTCCCGGATGCTCACAAAGTGTTCGATGTCCTGCATGAAATATACTCGCATTATCATGGGCCACTCGTTGAATGGGGAGTGTTGGGTTGAAATATAAACAGATTGGATTTCCACATCGATAAACGATATTACATAGAGTCTGTGTGTATGAGATCAGAGAATATAATTGCTGGTAGAATATTGTATTATAGGCCTAAACAGTTGTAATATCTTCGTCTTAAAAAAATATGTTAGCCAATTCATTGGCACGTCCAAGAACAAAAGCGCATGCACTTTGCAACAATTCAACTGCAATGGAGAGGTTAATACTCGAAGTAGAAAGAGACTTGTGCCTTTCGATCCAAATAAGCAGTGAGTTGAGGGCATTTTTAGAGCAAGAATTAGCGAAGATGTGAAAGTTTCAGGTATTGCCAGTGTTGAGGTCTGTCCTCATAGCTACTTTGATCTTAGTCTTTTCTAGCACCTTATCATTTTGAAATGGGAAAATAATTTGAGTCACGTCAACACTGCCTCTTAATTTGCCTCTTATCGGGTTTTCTGTAGCCAAAACGAGGTTTCGAAGCGAAAACTATAGGTCGGGTGAGATTTTCCCTGTCATATCTGTAAGATTTTAGTACGACTTTGTTAGATCGTGGTAACGTTTTGATCGCTGGAATCTTTCCTTCACATAACAAATAGGGTTGCCATATTGGGGACTGGGTGAATGTGGTATACATTATGTGAAGCAAAGCGTTTCTTGCTCAAAATTCATCCAACCTTCGGTTTCAGTTGTTGTCTATGACTGCAGCTGGGATTCACATCTAAGTTAGAGAAGCTGTGATATTAATCCTTATGCCTCGACGTACGTTAATGATGTTTCCAGAAAACGATTTTCTTTTTTCTTTTGCAACAAGTAACGTTAATTCCGATTGTATGGGCTAATTTGCATTAACCAGTAGCAAATTTTACGTATATCTATTTTCGTAGGGGAAAAATATATTTATGGTAAGTTGGTGTTGTTTTAATTGCATCATTAGTGTAGATATAATGCCAGATTCTGTTAATTTAGTTTCTGACATGTATTGTTGCTCAGAGATAAAAAAGTTCAAAACAAACTTTGCGTGAGTATTTAACCAGGCTTTTCTGTTGACTTGATTTTCTTGAAGAAATCTTTTAGTGCCAGAATGAGAACGATTCGGCGTTGAAATCAGGGCTCAGCCGGAACTAAGGCCCTGTTTATACTGTCCCATTTTCCCTTCTTTCTTTATTTTGGATATCAAGAACTCCTTTACGCACTGCTCCGTATTTTGTAGAAAAATCGCAAAAATATGTCTTTTTACGTTGTGACCTCCTTCACATAAATGAACATTTTTCTCTCCGTACGAAAATGGACCAGCGTGAATCGGTCCTTGTAGTTCGTGCTAGTTTTCATAGTGCAAAGGGAGAAAAAGGGAACCGCCCACTTTCAAAGCTTTACATCTGGGAGTTTGACTGTCCTTTAGGATTTGGGAATCGCACTGCAGCTGCATCATTAATTTAAAAAAGAAACCAACCCTTGGCCCAGTGGGATTGCCTTGCACGCCCCCTTGGGTCTTACAAGTATCCTTATTTTCTTCAATGAATAGGATGCAGTCATTTTCGCAATTTGCTCTTGGTTGAACGTTGCTTTTTAAGAAAGTCAAAGCCTTCAATACAGAACACTCTTTCTTGGCTTGCAAGATGGCAGCCCGTAAACTATTTGAACGTAACTTGGTGATTGAAGAGATTTAATTTCGGATATCATCGGGAATTTCGCATAAAAGCTGTAAGTTTGTTTTTGTTTTTTATACGTAACCAAGAAATGCTCTAATAAGGCGTTCATATGGCCTCGTCAACGCCAGAAACAAAAGAAAGGCTGTTTTCATATGAATCTAAGTACGAAGTGTTTAACCTCTGGCGAAGATTAAAACGAATTCATAAATGGCGCATTGGCTTTGGGAATACTCGTGATTAGAAACAGATAGCGCCTTGTCTGTCCTTAGTTCTGGAATTGTATTATTATGAAGAGTATTATCAGTGCCAGATACAGAGTTTCACCGTTGAAGATTAAATTTGTGTTTTATGCAGTGGCGTTTCTACTGTGGGCTAGGGGGGCCCCAGAAATTTTCTTTGCCACCTCCCCCCCTTTTTTCAAAAGTTTTTATCAAAAATGAAGTTTTTTCTTCGAAAGCTGTTCAATCGTTTTTCGACTTTGTTTGGTTGCTGTCTTTATTTTTTCAATGCGATCTTTATTGCATTTATTTAACAAACTAGGGGCTCCGATAAGCGTTTTGGTTTGTAACCAAGGTGGACATTTATGAAATTTTGGCTCCTTTCTGTAGTTGCCAAAAAAAGTTCATTCTTGACAATCATTTAAATTTTATATTTGTTATTGATCACGAAGATACCCCTCTTTGGGTGGGGTGCGCAAGGTAAGCCCAAACCAAGATTCTCCGCATTCCATTGAAAATTCTTTTCGCTCTGGAACTCAGCGCAGAGAAATATCAATACCATCCCAGTATACTTTGGCAATCTACAATTGCTTATTGAAGTTCTATGATTTGAATTTCTGTGTAACAGAATGATATGCTTGATCTCATGGAGGTCGGATATAGGACATAATTACTACGGAGAAATTTTACCAATCGACTTCACAAAGCTATTAGCCTTTAAGTTTTAGAAGTATAGTTCTTCTGTTGAAATTCTAATGTTCAAGATGTATTATTGTTAAACAAATAAAAATCAGTGGAATAACATACAAAAGTTGTTTTCAGTTAAAGAGCAAAGGGTCCCGAACCTCTAGGGGCCCCCAGCAACAATTTACCTTTGCTTTTTTCTAGGGGACGTAGCTGCCCGTTCCGCCACTAATAAAACTATTTGACATAATGATAACAGCCCTGATAGAGCTGTACCAAGGACATACAGTACTTATCTATGGGGAGCTAAGAACCGGTGCCTTGTACCCGGGGGGGGGGTACTCTCATTAAGGCCTGACAGGGGGGTCCAGTCCGTTTGAGGGTCTTACCAAATGGCCCATTTTTAATGATAACTGAACTGCTCAGTTTAGCTTGCGATTTGTTATAGATAATGAAAAAGATTTATCTTTTCCGAAACAAAAACAATCAATTATGAAGAAGTTTTTCAAAAAAGAAACCAGGGGAGCGCAAAGAAATGGATGCTACCAGGGAAATAATTTCGGTTTTATGCTACCGTTTGATGGTTTTTGTCAAATATACTACCATTTGAGGATAATTCTTTAAAATTTTAGCGTTGGTCCTCTTTGACCCTGACCGGACCCCCTGTCGGGCCATAATGGGAGTAACCCCCCGGGGGCCTTGTAGCTATTTTGAGCCACCACGCTTTACATTCTACTAGTTTTCAAAGTAATGGCTGGCGTTGGCCCCTATAGCTGAAAGTTTGGCCCCCGACTAGCCCCAGAAATTTAAGGCTTAATCCGCCACTGGTTTTATGTCCGTGGAGCCTGAGTCTTACATGCCACCTGCACACAGTTTCATTAGATCAAGATAATCGTACTCCTAAAAAGTGTCACTTGGCTTACGGAACAGAACTGCCATTGTGGTATTTGGTCAAAGGGCGAATGTTTTTACTAAGTGGTGTCATCTAAGCTTGTACTGGGCATGTTCCTTACTACTTGCAGTCATATAAAATGGGACAAATATAAAAAAATAAACGAACAGACATAAAAGGAGCCAAATATTGAAAAGGAAAAATAAAGAAAGGGCCAAATTATAAAAGGACAAATAGAGGAAGACCTGAAATAAAGGGACAAATATAGCAAGGGCCAACAATGAAAAGGGACAAATATAGAAAGGGACAAATATGAAAAGGGACAAATATAAAAAGGGCAGAATATGAAAAGTGACATATATAGAAGGGGCCAAAGATGAAAAGGGTGAGAGATAGAAAGAGCAAAATTTAAAAAAGGGACAAATATAGAAAGGAACAAAAATAGAAAGGGCTAAATATGAAAGAGGTCAAAATTTAAAAGAGACAAATATAGAAAGGTACAAATCTAAAAAGGGAAACAAATAAGAAGGGGCAAATATAGAGGGACATATATAAATAGGGACAGAACAACGGCAAAACGAATGATTCTGTGCCTTTCCAAAGGCTCGCCTCGTAATTAACATACGTACTCCTGAAATAGCGGTTAAAAATATTGGCTAGTTTCTGGGGGGAAACGGGGGCAGCAAACCTCAATTGGGAATGGGCTTGAGAAATGACCTCGAAAATCAGGTACTTTGCATAGGAAATAACAGAGAAAAGGCCACGCTCGCAAGCAACTAGGAGAGCAACTTTATTTTGATTACCCTGCCGCTCAAAACAACTCACTCAAAACTGCGGCCTCAAAAAACGAAACGAAACGAAAAAACGTGTCAGTCAATTCATTTACCTGTCTTTTGGGCAAATATGAGTACTCCTACAAGCAAGACTAGCCAAGAAAAGATATCATTTTTATTATCAACGCAACAAACACTTATTAAACAGATACGCAATAAAACAGAAACGCTTTTAGATTAAAAAATATCTTAGCAATAATCAGTCAATACAAAAATGGTACGAAGTAAAAACAGTTCCAATATGGAAAATAGCTATTTTACAATTCTTATTATCTATAATTCTGCAAGTTACACCAGCAAAGAAAATACGGCGTTTTATGATCAACCCAACAAAACATTCATGAAATGAAACAAAAAGCTTTTCGCAACAGAACTTTGGAGTATATATACTAGAGAATTTAAAAATATCTTCGTCATAATAAGCAAATACAAAACTTGTACAAAATAATTCGAATACCAATATGGCAGTTCTCTTCAACCTAAAATACCAATATGGACGTTATTTCAAAGCCCTTGTGAACCTTTTATTATCATTCAAGTCTAAATCGCTCTCCAAAATTGAACAAATTTTTGAGGAATAATAGTCACCTCTTTAAAAGACAGGTATAGTGGTTTTATGAACCATTACTTTCTTACTGTGATAAAGATAATTTCAATGTAACTTTTAAAACACAAGCCATCTAAAAGGAACCCAAGGAAAGTCGATATTGCTATACCTATACCATACTGTTAGATTTGATGCTCAATATAATGTAATTAAACGAATGCGGCAATTAAGACGTTTGTCTGTTATAGGCACAATAATATATTCTATCTTGATTTCTTCGGTGTAAATTATATGGGCATAGTAGTTTTACAGTATTATTTCAGACATTGCATCATAAATTCTAACACTATTTTATGGATGATTCGCAGCGAGTTGTTCGAAGATGCCCCTTAAGACTCCCACGAGGACCTGCGAATATGTTCGGATCCGCGAATAGAGATTATTCAAATGGGTAATGCAGTAGCATAACGGAGGCATATGGGGCGCTAAAGAGAAAGCCCCTATCTAGGGAGTACAAGAAAGTCCCATTCAGGACTATAAAGCATGTCAAACACAAAAGCAAGATGTAAAAAAAAGCTAGGGGGAGATGCGTTAAGCAAGAACTAAAAAAGTTTTAGAAAACATGAGCAAAGTCTTAAAAAAATTATTTTAAAATTTGGGGGCCCCTTATCCGCGTTATGCCACTGGCTAAAAGGAGCTGTATGTGAAGGGCTTAAGCTTCAAACTGGGCAGTAGTTTCGCAGTTATGTATGTTCATAGCAAATATCGTAATAATATCTATTCAAATAGAAATATTTACAAGCATGCGTAGTCCAATAATTTTGAATCTCATTTAGTTTTTTAAAATACAAACACAAACTATTTAAAAAAAAAGTTGTGAAAATATAGTAATTTTTTTCCTTTAATTTTCTTGCTTTTTCTTCTCCTTTTCGCTCTAAAAGACAAAAAACAGAAACCCGGATAAAAAAGATTGAAAAAAATTAAATTATTTACCTTTCAATATCTAATATAATTATTTCAAAGGAATCTGACATCAAGAAAAAAGTTTCAAAAATCCAAGTTTTACTTTCACAGCAAGATAACTTACATTCACTAGCACAAACTTCAAACCAAACATTAAACATAAAAGCAAACATTTAATTTAAATAGCCCCCTCCGTTCTTCTTAAAATTTGACGCTTTGAAGTATACTTTTATAATCGCTAGTACATCTCTCAAGTTCAGTTCCCTCCGAGTAATAAATGCATTCATTTGGATGGTTTTCTATAGACATCAATCCAGCATTTTGTGCTAAGAATTTGCCACACATAAAATGGTTCCTCGCGAAGCAAGTTGGCTTACGTCTACCTAGCCTACCTTAAAGCAATATAAATACGGTTACAATGAAACTTTCTATGATTTGTCAATAAAGAATGTCTGAAAGAGCTTACACTTCGCTGGCTGTTCGTTGGCGTATCAATACCATTTTCTATCGGCCACGATGATACGATCTCTTTCGGGCCCTCGATTAGAGTGCTGGAATAAAATTTGTTCATAATAATGGATTGGTTTCAAACAAACGTGGATAGTATTTTAACCATAAGAACGGGTTTTATAGCGCAAAGAATAATAGGGATCCTAGGGGGGTTGGTGGCTGGAACAAAATTTTCATTCTTTAACGAATTTATTGATAATAATGGATTGGTTTCAAACAAACGTGTATAGTATTTTAACCAGGAAAATGAGTATTTTAGCGAAAAGAATTATGTGGGTTCTAGGAGGGAGGGGCTGGAAAACGATCCAGAAGTTGTAAGATGCACTTTATGTTCATAAACATATAACTACTTGCAGAGTCAACAACTAATATTTAGCTATAGATAAACGTTGATCAGTTATAAAGACATTTATTTAATTGATTGAAAATGGTACTTGAATTCTTAAATTTGAGGATCTGCTGAAATGATTTGGACAAATATAGTAATCAAGTGGAGAAGTCTGTCAGCGTAGTCATAAAAAGGGATAAGTTGAAGGAAACAGAAGGAAGGGGGGAGGGAATAATATCAAAGGAAATAAATATTATTACAATATTAATACATTAATACAAATAACAGACAAAGAAAAGTTAAATGTACGAGAAAAAAAGGAGACGGAAAGAGTAGGTTGGTGGAAACCAAAGAGACGATGGTGAAAACGAAAACGAAGAAAAGGAAAAAACATTTTTTTAAATTAAAAAAAAATTGGAAAAACAACCACGACAGATTAATAAAGAAATAATGCACATACATGTAGGGATCATCACCAAGCACCGTCTTTAGTCCTTCAAATTTTTTCTTTGAAGATGTTTTAATCTAGGAAGCGAGCCTTAGGTTTAGAGACATGAAATCTAGTACTTTAAAGGCTACATTGCATAAGCATAACATTCACTATAGCATAAAAATATCTCCAAAGTTACGATAAATAACTTTAGAAACTCTTGACGTCCGTATTTTCAGGCTGAGACTAAGAAAAGTATTACAGGAGGCAAAGTATACCTAAATTTTCTTGGGTTGCATTAAAAAGGAGCTTTATTATATGGATTCATAGATTTTATTGATTATGGCTTAATTGCATGAAATATTTGATAGCACATTGGGACCAATAACTTCAAAATCATTACCATTTCTATATGAAAACATGTATTATAACAAATAATATATTACTTTTTCACAAATTTTTTATAATTGTTTTAACGCCTAAAAAAGCTCACAGCACCACGATCAAACTTCAAGCGTTGCTTGTTCATCAAAAAGAATATAAGAATATAACATACCATGAGAAAATAAGGCCCAGAACCAGAAGGTTGCTTCGTATGAACTGAAATGGGAGCAAAAAGTGCTACGATGAGAATTTCATTCCTAAATAGATAAGTATATATTTAAATATAGAATGCATTATTGTTAAAAGGGTACGTTGCTTTGGTATCTTGGGTACAGGGCAGCTTGGATACAGAGCAGCTTGGGTACAGGGAAATTGACAAAAAAGCTATTTCTTTATAACGTATAGAGACAGACTTTTCTTGAGCTTCTTGTTGGATCCCACAATTGTCTCGTTACTACCTTAATAATATCACAAAGAACTAATAACAGATACCATACCTAGACACTTCTTTTTACAAGGGCATCTTTTCTTTTCTTCTTCCGATGATGAAAGATCGCGTCTCGATGACCTTTGTTTCTCCTCTTGCCTCAATTTTTTTGCCTTTCGTTCTAGCGTGGTCCTGTCTCGGCCAGGGCAGGCACATATTCGAACACCGATGGTGCGCCTTCCTAGTACCTCTCCACTGTTATAGACAAAACACATACATTATTCTTATATTAGTACAAACAAAGATAACCAAAAAGTCATTAAGATTATTCTACAATATTGCAATGTACTTTCTAAAATGAAGATTCTACAACGTGAATTATAGATAAAAACAGACTGAAAAAATAAAAGATCACATTTAAATGTCGACAAAGACGACAAAGAAATTTCGGCGAGACCCCCTAAAATCGTAAAACAAAGATTGTAACCATTGCAGTAGAGATAATAAGAAAAACCAAGCAACCCCAAATAAAAAAAAAATTCGAAAATTCTCTAGTTAAATGTATGACGTTTGACAAGACAATGTTTAAGGTTTACTTTATCTCCAGTTAAACATGTTTTTTATCAAAATTCTGAAATTCATAAGTTAGGATGATGGTGGATGGATAAGCAAACAAATTTGACATTATAGATAAACAAGGAATAAACTCACTCTTGTTCCAATGAAAATATTGCTTCAATTTCTTTTCTGAAGCAAGAAGAGAAGCATTGGAAATTGAGAATCTCGCACTGATAATCGACGCCAGCTGCAAACAGAAAAAGGTTAATATAATATTGATAAACAATAACTTAGAAAGTCAGATTATATTTTTGATGCGTTTGATTATGGTCTTGGCTTTTTCTATTTATCAATCATATTATCAATCAGTCATACCAGATGAGGCATTAATACTATCATTAAGGGTTCTTAATAACAATACAACGAAACCATAATTTTACTGCCTTATATAACTGATTATTTTCTTCTCCAAAATAGAGCACAGTTTATTCCTTTAATCTCTCGGTAGAACAACTGCTCTAATAAACCCAACATTTTACAATTTGGGCAAACAGTTTGCTTTTTTATTCGTGGCATCACTGAACTGTGTGTACTGTTTAAAACCACGGTATCAGACCACTCACCTGAATATTTCGATTTGCTAGCAGCTTAAAACTGCTGAGAATTATAAGAAAATAGATTGGAATTAAGCAGAGGTACCTTGGCAAGGCAGCAACGGGAAACGCACGGAATGCCGTTCGGTATTTGGGCAAACCCCATATGCAGCATTTCGACCATGGCATTGCAATACGTGTGCATAGTTTTGGTTTCCTGTCAAAAAGAAGTTAGGACTTGAGAGATGTCTTCTGAGCAATTCATGGGCTGCGACACAGGTTGGAAAATGAAGGGGGGGTGGGCATGGGAAAACAAACTCCCATACAGGGGCGCACACTTGTAAAGTATTGGTGGGAGCAAGCTTATTATAAGATGACGTCACATTTTCCCATTGTTTTAAAGGATTTTGAGAAAAGATCTATTATTTTGCAAAAAAGTTGGGGTGGGGGCCGACAATAGTTATCGGGTAATGTCTTTGACACATAAAAAACCTGTGTCACAGTCCGATCTTGCACAAGGCATTTTCTACGTACACATGCTTAATATGTCATGTGATTATGATCCTTATTTCAAAATCATTTGAGAGAAGAATGTAAACTGGAAGTTCTCGTCTTGAAATATACTACAAAATTTGTTTTTATAAATGCTCGACTTTGGATTCGGATATAAGACCAGAATTTAAGACGACATGTACCTTTTCATGAGTTCTTGCGATATTGTATTTATGACGACATAAATAAAAAAGTAGAGGGAATTTGATTGGACCAGCCACTCGGATATTAGCAGAAACAATGTGAAAATTGCATCCAAATTACAAGTATGGCGTTAAGAGATGCTCAAAAATGTCGTAAATAAAACTTGGGGTTATTTTCCAACTGAGGTCGTACGTTTGAATAATACAATGGCAATAATAGAAGTCATGACAAGTTAAAACCTCTTTCCATTTTTTGCGATACTTTTGTCAGTCCCCTTTCCCCCGTGAAATAATATGCTCTTTATGGGAAAGTGTCAGGAATCTCATTACGACGCTGATTACGTGGAAAATTCATAAAATGACAGAGTTAACTTTGGTCTCCTTCAAGCACAGGAGTTACTATTTTTTAAATGAAAATAGTTCTATCTTGCGTATGCTTTGATTGTAAAAATAGAGCCTTTGCCTACATGGTGCTTTGAGATATTTTTTCAATTCTGTTTTATAGATCTTTTACACGTAGCTCTTCGCTGTTGTAATCAAAGCTTTATATAATAAGGAAGATATCCTAGGCATAAATGGAATAGAGCCGCACCTTTCTTTCGAAGTTCATCGGCGTGCTTTGGGCATGTAAGAAGTATGTCTGTGTCACTGTTCTTACTGACAAGAATAGCACGAATGTACGCTCCTCTTGGTACATTACCTGAAATAAAAATATTCACTGTTTGAAAGATGTAATATTTCAATTTAGCAGCATAAATTGTAAATTGTATTTGATCGTAAAAAACCATTCTGCTCTAGAAAAAGCACCTGTAAGATTTTAGAATGTTTTTATGGGTACTTGTAGCACATTTCAACAACACCAGTCATCCATTTTCTTATCTAATTTTTCAATCTATTACAATCATTCAATACTTATAGATATCATAAGCTAGCTAACTATCAAACCTTTGCCCTTATTACTCTGAAAATTTTCGAAAAAAAGAAGACACCATGTCAGAAAATCTTCAGGCTGCACTCGATTAATGTGCAACTTTTGAAAAGGGCATAGATTACATAGACTAATAGTTGCTTTAACATACGCTGGCAAATGGAAGGGCAGTGACAGGAGTGTCGTGAAGGGACAAGTCCCGTTCTTGGTATTGTTATTTTGGACTTTCTGTGTTTGATGAAATGAACCCAAATGCTAAAATTGATACGTTTCTAAAACTTCTTTATGAGCTGAGGGTCAAAGTTAAGGGTCATAAGTGTGCCTCCCTTCTCTATTAAGGAAGTTCACGACGCCCATGAACAGCTTCTAGTATTTTAGCAGAGATTATATTATGAAAACAACAGCAAAAAACACATGCCTTTTGTTTTGAATTTCACCGGAACACCGATGCCTACTTGACAAAAAAGTTTTGACAGCGATTCCGAGTAGGTCCAAGGGATGGACTTGGAGATCGTTCCAGACTCATCAAACTTTAGACAAAAGTCGTAAATCCCACTGTAGTCCACACGACTCGGATTAGCTGGCACCTTATTGTGTCTTTCGAAGCTGTACGTCCTTGTTAGCGCAGGAAGCATTTGCTGAAATATGACAAATTTGTTCATGTAAATATCCTTCAAGCGGTTACCTTAGTATTGTTAAAGCCTTAATTCGTAACAGACCAGTTATATCACACAAATAATATCAACTTAAAGCTGGGAGGGAAAACTCAATATCCTTGGCCTACATTAGCCCTGTGTACAGTTATGGCTCAGAAAATAACAAATATTTCTTATTAATCTTTGGTGTATAGAAAAGGGTGGTTTAAAATTGCAAATCAGAGTTTTAAGCTCAAAGTGGCCATCATTCGCAAATTGTTCAGAGTCAACATCTTTCACGACATTTAGTTTTAGTTTATCACCTCATCAATTTTAGTTAATTTCATTCGTTACTTTTCAAGTCTATTTTCTATCAAAATTCTTATTCCGTCTGATAGGTGAAAAAGTAAGATGATTTTGGAAACAAAAAATATGATACCTGAAACCCTTGGGCACATGGAGGAAACTGAAAATATAATGTATGATTAATAGTTGATGGACAGTTTGTTATCTTACTTCTCACAAAAACAGCATACATGGAAAATAGGCAGGATGAGTGAAAAAGATCAAAATAAAAATATCGTCATAAGCTATAAAATGGAGACGTGATCAAGCTAGTGTTTATGAAATAGTTATGATTTCACAAGTTCTGGTTGCCCTGGTGATGATTTGAAAGGATTTAATAACTTCAGGTAATCCATAACCTAATATTATAAAAATTTTCTAATATCATTTTTGGAAGTTACAAACTTGAGATGCAAAGTCTGTCACTACCTTTCACAGTTTGGAAATCAAACAACTCTTAATCATAATCAGTTGATTTATTTGGAATATTCTGCATTCAAACCTTCTGAAAAAATATTTGATGCATCAAAAATACCACTACCTTTGGCTAACTTAAAGACTCATTGCTAACAGTGGGCCTTTGCGAGCGTGGCGTTGGTCCAAACAATGGCAGTAATTGATTTTATACAGTCTAAAAATGCATTATTGGATGCTTACGTAGCGCAATGGCTCATTGCTAGCAATGAGTCTTTAAAGGTCCCTAAATGCCTGGAATAAAATAGCATTGGTTGCTATCACATGAAAAAGGCTGACATACATTGTAGACCGAGAAAGGCATTGATTCAGGCGTAGGCTGGGGTGTAAGTTGGGCTGTAGGTTTGGATTCGATTTGTAGTATTGTTTCATGACTGACAGCCGTCTCTGCAAATGAAAGCAATAACACGATCAAAAGAGAAATTGAAAAAGTTTTTCTAAAACAACCAGCAAGCAAATGACATGTTAGAGTGCATATGTCGCATTAACAGTTGGCTAATAAACAAAAGCGTTTGGAGTGGAATTTCATTGTTTTGAGACTTTCCATTTCTTCTTCTTGAATTTTTACTGCCGTTAAAATTTACCCTCGATTCCATTCTTTGTACTAAACAACAGAGAAAATTGTATTGCATTAGCCAATCATGTTCACACATATGCCCTTTAAGATCAAGCAAAAAGCTTGATAATTTAGTCTTTCAATACAAGTATAATATATTAAAAGGGCCCTGTATGCCGGGGCGAAATATTAGTATACTCTTAAATTTAATTTATTTTGAAAATTTATTTTGTGACATTGGATTCTCGTCGTCATATTGCTTTGTTCCTGTATACCTTTTATAATATATTTACACTATAATAACAGCTTTTCTGTGAGCATTGATAAACAAAACAGAAAGTGCAAGTTGAATTTGGGCTAAATTTTTCTTCTATTTCTGAACTTTTATAAGTGATAAAGAATTCTTTATTTAATTTACATGATCAAGATTTCATTATAAGGCATCATAGACACGTTATACAGTGATTTGGAACATAAAAGTTGTAGGTCACCTCCCCAACCCATATGCAACAGACTTTCCTAAATTTTTGCACTTTAAATTTTTCAGAAATCTTTTAACTTGGGTAGATGTTGAATCTATTTTGCAAAATAAGTTAGAAAATATCTTTTCCAGGCCTAACTTTAGCAGCAAATTTTGCTTACATATAATGAATTATTTAACTTGTTCAATCAGTATTCAAAAGCTTTTCTGTTCTTTTTTAAATTCACGTTAAATGATTAACAACAAGTTGCTCTAGGAAAGCTCAAATATGGAACAAACCTTCAGTCTTCACTGTCCCATTACAGCCATTTTCAAATCGTACATTTGGATGAAAGATGCTGTCTCTATAGAACAAACAAGAGCATGTTAGAAGATAATGACACCCTGTTTACAAAGGGCCAAAACTGAAGGATGGCAATCCTGATTCTCAAAAATGTCTTGTGTAAATGCTTCTTCAGGATTTTCTCCAGTCCATCCCATATTGAAGGCGAATTGGGATCTATGTAAACACAACTTGATCAAGATCATGATCCTACAGGATTGCCATCCCAAACCCAATTTATAAATTATTGCTCTTTGTAAACAGATTATTCAACAGCAGCAGGCAAATGACAGAATACATATTAAATAATTTTTTTCCTTTGACATATGGTTTTTAGCTGTCTTTGTTTTTATGCTGTCTATATAAATTTTGTTTCTTATTTTCTTACATATTTCATTTAATATATATATCAATATCTATAAATACCAATAATATTTGAAAATGGTACCAAGTTGATGATTTTAACTCATTAATGACTGTAATAGATAAAAAATCGGCTAATGTTCATCATGAAATAGAAAAGGCACCACTTTTATAAGTATTATCCTTCAAAATCGAAAAGTACCCTCTCATCTGATCTCCAAGTCCATTCACTAGCATATCAAAGGCGTCATCACTCAAAGGTGCCTCTGTTTCTTGGCTATAGGTTCGTTCCATGGTACATATACAATATCTGTTACCAGGAACAAGCTGAAAAACATCAATTTAAAAACCTTAAATAGATTATTACATTTAAATGATTTTTTTCCAAAATGCATAGATGAGTGGATGAGTAGATCTTGTAAAACAAGGAAAATTCTGTCTGAATAGAGGTTCTTTTCCTCAATGTACTTTCTAGTACCCTTGTATTCAGTACAGTGAGATTACTTCACAATAAAACATCAAATCCAAATTTGTAATAGAAGACCAAGGAAAAGGTTCCTCTGACCAAAATATTTGCATATTTAGCTATATCCTCAAACATGGAGCAAAACAAATGGGGCTGTGGGCCATGCCCCTTGGATCAATAAGTGTGCCAGGCCTTTGGGCCGTGCTTCGGTTCTTGGATCTGAATGTTTTCCAAAACTTTATTAGTAGAAACTTCTAGCAAAATATGGTCTGGATAATCTAGTTTGCCAAAATTTGAGACCCCGGATTGGTAATCAGAATTAAGACAACTTTGATGTGCAAAGCATTTTACAGCATTGTTTTATTCATCCATACGGTAGTTTCCTTGCCGTTGACAGACTAATGGGTTAGCAAGAAAAGAAGAGAATCAACAGGATGCAAACCCTAACCACAGTTTTCTAATTTTTCTTGGCAGTAGAAACCATAAGACCATTTTCAGTTCTTTAGACTTAAGGAGTATGGCCTGAGCAACAACAGTCTAGAAATGATTTGACATATAAATTCACCTTTTTTTCCTTTAGAAACCTTTTAAAATTTATGCTAAATCTATTTTGAAAGGCCATTTCAGAGTAAAATCTAGTTGCAATGCCTTGAATGGCAATAATTGAACCAATCATAAAGCAGTTGTCTGGCAATCTGGTTTGGCTATATAGCGCTTCCTAAAGCAAATTTGCTTCAATTGTAGCAAAATCCAGTGATCTGACTGGTTTAGCTCGAGCATAATCAGCTCGAGCATAATAAATGTCAGCTCGAGCATGAATTATAAATTACTTTTTTACAGAGAATACATTTGGAACTGCAATATTCTTATGTTTGACAAACATTTTGTTTTGTCATATTTTGTTTGGGTCCAGCCCTCCCCAGAACCCCCCCCCCCCTCTGCGATTTACGGCCCTGCTTGAGATATTTCAAAATTCTTGTTTGACAAAAGTTAACAGTTTTTGTCTGGCTCTATTTTGTGTGTTAATGAAAAAGAATATTGTTCAGTCACCAAAACAGAAAATGATTTTGAAGTGATAGCATACTTGCTCAAACTTTTCAAAAAACTGGTGACACAACATTATGATTTTTAAAACGTGGACCTTTCCTCTTTTATCTTCCCATTCTTGCAGGAAATTTATGCATGACTTTAGTCTGGTAGCGAAAAGGAAAACCTTTTTTCATGCCCTGTTGAAAATACTAACTGTAGAATTTGAATAAGGCACCCAGTGCTAAGCATTTAAACTGAGTTTCAGTCAGATGTTCCAAAATCGTGAATCGATTATTAGGCTCAGAAAGTTCGTTTAAAACGTGGAAATTGAAAATTCCGAGAAGATCGGTTGAAGATACCCTGGCATTAGACTTAGAGGAGAGAATTAGGCAAGGACAAGTGATCAGAAACACTTACAGAATTAGGGGAGTTTAGTGCCTAAAATTGTGCATCCTTGGCAATTATGGGACAAAACATTTACTAAACATACAAAATGTCGTAAACGCAAGGCCTAACTTATTTATGAATCAGATACCTTAATAATCTCAATACTTTAATAAATATATTTAAACAGACTACTTACAAGCAGCGGCACGTAGATAAAGCACTGATCTGACTTGTATGTATGTATTGTATTCAAGTTGTTGTTGGATTCAAAACTGAGGAACGTGACAAGAGTGTGGTTATGAGCATGCGCAGCCTCGTCCTCAACAATAATGTAAACATAGAAATGACATCATCTTTGAAATATCCAGCTACACTTTCAGCACTATCAAAGCCCAATTTAAGTTGTGTATTTTTATTCAAGATTTTAAAGTCATAACATAGAACAATGCGGTTGTATATCCCATATTACGTATTTAGCAGAAACAAAAAGGAACCGACAACATTCGGTTGGTTTTTAACAGCACGTATTGAAATTTTAGGGGTTTTGGGGGCTCGAGCCCACAAAGTACTTTTTTATTATCCTTTTCTCAAAAGTTAGGTGATAACTTTTGCCATAGATATAATGCTGATTAAGCTTGAGTTTTGCTTAGAATAGAGAAATAATTAATGGGCAGTTTCATTTAGAGGCTTATCATTCCACAATTTCTGGTTCGCTTTTGGCAAAAATCCTTTCTTGACAAAATTCCCTAAAAGTCAAAAATTCTGTTGTTCTTAAAATATTGCATACGCTGCTTTGAAGGCGTTATGCACCCCTCGGATTTTGTAATTTCTAAGACATGCCTTCCAGAAAAAGAAAAGTCGTCCAGTTTTGCAAATAAATTCCCAGGGATAAATTTCAGTCAGTTTTTGTGACAAAGTCCCATTGAAAACGATCTGACATATTTGTTCTTTGGTAACACATTAGCAGGAAAGCATGGTAGGAATTCATATCAACATACAGTAGTTAATCAAAACGGGCAACTATTTGCTTAGGACTTTCTAGAGACAGTTGTAGAGTTGAAATGGAATTTCAATTCCTAAAACTAATCCCATTCTGCATATGTTGTCAAAATGAAATGATTGGTTTTGCAACCAGTTATGGTTAAACTAATCTGGTTTTAATACTACTTGCAAAATTAACCTTTGCTTGTCCTTGCTTTGCCGTCTTCTACGTGTGCGGTATTTAACAAAAACTGCTTATCTTGGACATTTAAAGTTCAAATCGGAGTTAATGTTTTTACTGAGTTCAGCTTACGCTAAACAAAAAGTGGCACGCATCTTGTGTAAAAGCAGAATACACCTGGTGGGACATCTCACACTATCAAATCAAGTGTAGGATAATTGTGTCTGAGGGTCTAAACTGACCTTTATCTTTGATACTTGATTCCAATTTGATTCCTCTTCTCTTCGAAACCAAGGGTAATTTATATCCTTTTTCCTGAAATCAAATAGTTGATATAAGGCCAAACAAAGAAAAATCAGAAACTTTGTTAAGATTCCCATGTCATACATCTTTTTTTCTATTTTCTATTTCCTAAATATGTGACAAAATTGAACCCCTTTTTCAGAGATATTGAAGACACGGGTGCTTACACTTGACAATGAGAGGGTACCCGCCGGGAAAATACAATGCAATGACCACGGATTTAGAACCTTGATCTAAGTTATTATTTCAAAATTGTATTGAAGACTTTACAATAATTCATTTGGCTCTTGGCTTTTAGCTTGTTGAGCCTCCTCCTCCTCTTTCAAATTTTTGTATATTTGACATTTTTATCCTAAAAAAATGGGTCACCCTTAAACAGAAGCTGTTATCTAAGGAAGCCTCCCTATGAAAATCCTCCTTGCATGATAAAGGCAAAGCACTTGAATGTAAAAGAAGCATAATACAATGCACCATGAAAACAAAAGGCTCAAGTGTGAATAGCTCTTTTTTAAACTATAAAGAGAGAATGCAATCTAATAAATTGTTTTGCCCAATCAGTGATATTTTCCAAGGCTCCTAATATAGTTTCATTGAACATGCTTGCAACAACTGAAGTATATTCTTTGCTTTTCAAATCTATTGCCACCAAAAAGTAATCAGATGTTTGGAGCCTATATCCTATCTCTATAACTAATCGACATTTATATCGTGTTGTATTTGTATTGTATTTGTTTCTACTTAGCATCAGAAGGTAGTTTTTAGGACACTTGGAAGCTTATGCCTATCGAGCAGTGTCCTGGAGCTTCCTCTCGATATGATCACACCTCGTGATTCCTACGCCTGGAATTGCGAAGAGATCTCCTTGTTCTGGGTAAAAGTTTGGTCACGCCAAGGACTCGAACCATGAACCCTTCGGTCTGTAATCAGCACCGATAACAACTGAGCCATCGACATTTATCACTTTTTTAAAAACTGTATCCTAAAAAGGACACAATATAAGAAAACAGTCGGGACGGTAGGAACCCGTTTACAATTGAGTAGAAAAACAGAATTAATTTTGTGCCTGGTTGTTTGCAATGACTTCTTGCATAACTTCTAAAATTTTTAGGGCTTTTCTTACTGTTTACTGTGGCATAGGTTGGGTTCAGAAGCAGACAAAATAAATAAAGGAGGCTGTTTTTCTTGGGATGGAAATTTTTCTCCAAATAAAAAAGTCTTGGGACGATTTTTATCGATTTGAACAGTTTTTTGGCGGTACAGAACTTGAAAATGCCTGAGTAGTCAATATGATGTAAAATGTTTGCTTTTTTCAAAGCCATGTTATAGATTTCTGAGAACAGTGACCCCAACCCCAAGTGGCATCTACAGGAAAATAAAGAGCATGAAATATTCTTGAGTTCCAAGATACACGAACAATGGGTCCTTCACTTTCTGATGTAGCCACTCCAGTCTATATCAGTTTCTTTGACTTTTAACCACGATTATCTAAGCGATTACGATTGAATATATGTTATTCAGAAAACATTTTACTTAAGCAGATATGAATTGCAAGCCATGGTAACTATGAAAATTACATATCTCCTTCCATCCCTCATGATATATCCTATTTAGGAAAATAAGAACTTTAAAATTGAACATTGAATTTTTATATAACAACAAAGTTAAATGGCATAATGCCAAAAAATCATGGAATTGTATTTCTTTTTTATGATATGAGTCAATCAAGGCCCACTGTTATGTAACGTTAGAGCTCGAATCTGTATAACCCAAACATCAAATTACTGTTGATGAAGCATTAAAAATATTAAAACATGCACATAAAAAAAGAATGGAACGGGAAGGATCAGATAAAACTATTATTGCTTTACTGTCTTTAAAGCTTTTGCGCAGCGGCGTAACGCAGTTTGGGGCACCTTAGTCCGATAACTGAGGGTGCCAAGATATTTTTACATCCCTGCTTTTTAAACCTTGCTCAAGTTAAGCTTGTTTTGTAAAGTTCCAAAAGTTCTTTGACTGAATCATATAAGTCAGTTCATCTCTAGTTAACAGAACAATCATCATCTTACATCTTGCTGCACTGATTAATGCAATAGCTACACCAAAGGATTGGACCTTCTAGCAGACCGCAGATAATGGCCTCGTTTCAGAAAGTGCAAGGAAGTGCAAGAAAGAAGCTGTTAATTTTAAAAGAAGGAAACAGGCACCGCGAGGCAGGGGGGCTGGGGGGGGGGCTTTAGCAAATTTTTGCAAAAAATGCCAAATATTAAGTATCGAACTACCAGAAAAGCCTCTTTTTATACGGTTTTAGTCCCCCACTTTTTGAGACCCCCACTTTTCTCAACGCTCCGCGTTGTCTGGGAAAGGAGGAAACACAGTAAGGACTGCAACCATTTTATTATTAAGAATTTGATATTTAACATTTAGCATCTAAGAACGTAAAGGTGGAAAATCATGTTCCTATGTTTGAGTTGACAGGGCCAAAAGTGGATTTCGTTAAATATGATTGGACATATGATTGGTCTAAGGAACATTGAAACACTGATAGTCTTTGCTACCTTATCTGGGGTGCATTACAGATTATGGTTTGTGGCGAAGTCCAGCAAATTGTTATTGTAGATAAAAGCAGTTTACGATGTTGAAGTACTCGTAAAAGGGTATCATCAAAATATCCATGGATATTTAAACATGCTCTAGAATGAATTCCTGAACTAAAACACTTAACTGTTGGAAAACCTTTAAAAACTTTGGTTCGATGACGGAACGATGACAAAATGTCTAGAGAAGAAACCGAAAACCAATTCGTAATGAGAAAGGCCAATAGAGTAATTTCTAGACAGTCTCCACAAGACGGCTATGTTTAAAGAAGTTTGAGTTGTTTCTTTCTGAGACCATCAGTATTTCTGAAGAGACATGGATCATCTCCCGAATGAAGTGAAAGATGACTGTATTGACAATACTGGGTAAAGTTCTCTCCATGGCTTTTAAACCATGGTTAACCTGTAGTTTGTTACTTTTAAACAGGGAACTGAATGGGTAACAAATAAATAGGGAGGAGGAATATGAATTTTATTCTGCAAACACTAACATAAGCAAGAATGCAGATATTTTAATAAAGACAAAATGCCTTGGTGGAAATTTCAGAAATACTGGATAATGATTATAACCTCAAAGTAACCAGCTGGGCGAGCTTAAAGGGGATAGAATTCTCATGACCAAAGAAAACACGATGAACAGTTACCGCAAGACATACCATCAATTCTTTTGACAAAATCTTCGCTTAATTCACGTTGCTTCCCCGCAGACCTAAATTGTATCGATTAAAAGATCCATCATGTTTTAGATAAAAACTTTTCAATTAGCAAAACAATAAGATCAACTTATTCAATTCATTTGCTTGACCTAACGGCGAGGCAATCAATCCGCTTACACGGATATTTGTTTCGTTTTCCAATCACTCTTTGATTCTGCCTAACCCTGATGGTTTGTCAATCCAAGGACAGACGATAACATCAATGTAAAATGAGAAGGATATCAGACAAAATTAGCAAAAATGTCCAGATTTGATAAAGGAAATGAAAACCATTATCGGTTGTTAAAATATCTGGAAATTATACATCAGTTCGTTCTCAAGATTACCAACCATCTGTGTCTTTCTATAAAAACCTTTCTAATTAGAGAAAAAAATGCAACTGTTTCGTAATAGACAACTTCAAGGTTCTCTTATCCTCAACTCAATAACTGACTTACAAAAAATCCATCGTCTGCTACCATTTTTTGCGAATCAAGCAGTTAAATTAGGAACATTGATACTTAGGAAAATTAATGCTTGATTTATAAAACTAATTCTATGTACATACAGTTGTGTACCAGGGGATACAGAACAAATCCGAAGGAGGGGCAAGTGATCACAAAGAGTGCCAATAAATCGGCGACGAAGATAGATTGTTTATTTCGTTTGGATATATATAATGTACACTTCTTAATAACTGAATGAGAACTGTACTGTATAAATGTCATGAACGCCGTTTTCAATAATAAGTTCACTGCAAAATGATCTACGGTTAACTCAGGAACTGACAAAACAACTCTGACTGGATAAAAATAGACTTGCGATTAATCTAGATGAAGGAAATCCGAGGCAAAGCTAATTAAGACAGCCAAACGTCGCCTGATGATAAAAGGCCTGGACATATTTTTGGTAACAAGAGAATAAATGTTATAGAATAAAAGTCAGTCAATATATGTTCCTAAAACTGAAGCTTAGACTGAATGTATCAATCTCCACATCAAGCCCCATTCCCAAAGTTTCCCTTGTCAACCATTATCAAAAGCTTTTTTGCAATTCTATTTATCAAAAAACTAAAAAGACTCATTATTAACAATAAGCCATTGCACTGTGCATGCATCCCATAATGCATTTCAGGCAATCGTGAATAAATTTTGGTCGATCCGTGGAAGTTTACCGCCATTGTTAGGATCGGCGCCTGGATAATTTGCCAAGCATGCAAATGGTTGGTTATCAGGCTAGCAAAAGCTCGTTGTTAGCAAAAAGTCTCTAACAGTCTAGAGAAGATGAGTCTTTCTTGTAGTTTATAACTGTGAGAAAATATGAACTTTATTTCATTACAGATTTCCAGATAGTCAAAGTATATTGTACAAAGCAGAATTAAATACAGAAGGATTTACAAATTGCTGAGGTTATGAAGCTTGCATAAATCTTTAATGGAATACAAAAACGTCACTATAGCTGTAAATAAATTAGACTGCAGTATTTCTATCGAATGTGCCCCAACTTACGTTCTTTAGACAAGCTTTTGAGTCTTCGACAGAGTGACAGAGGGCAATTTACCCCTAGATACCCCAGATATGCATAAAGAGCGTTAGATAAATTCTCTTAAATGTCTTAATGTCTCAAAAACAACAGAATTTAGTTTACAATGTAATTTCAGTATATCTTTGGATCTTGTTGCTCAAGGAAACACGAAAATATAGTTATCGTCTTCGATTTTTGCTTTTGACATAAATCAGCCAATATTACTACGATAGGGCTTGCTTCCATAGGGGTAGCTAGTACGGGGATACCCACATAAGTCAGAAGGGGGAAGTTAGCTACTTTTATGTTTCTGTTTCATATAGTAACGGCATAGTTGTATAAAATACATATTCGGATGTAATAAAGCACTTTAAAACACGTCTCTTTGCAATAGCCTAGTCCGTACATACTCACGATGAACTCTACAATAGCTGGCCCAGTGACAACGTTCGCAATAATGTTTATTTGCTTTGCAGGAAAAATAAAAGTTGCAGGCCGTTTGAAACGTTCATTCAATGCATGAACAACAATCTGAGAATGATTCTAGAATATCAAATCCAAGGTTAAACTTTATTCAAGTGAAGCAAAATGAAGGAATTCGAAACTGGGTGTCGTTGAAAGTTTTATGTTTGAATTCACCGGTAGTCTCATTGCTCCAGGTTGCCTCCTTCATGATTGGTCCAGCATTTGTCACATGGAATAGCTTGACAGGGACATAGTTGCCATTGAATGTATGTGTCGCGTAAATGTAAATCGCATCATAGCCCTCTCCTTGATTGTGGAATCCCTGAAACCAATGCCATCGGTCAGCCTCAACTCCGTTAACAGTCTCGGTTCCATCGTATGAATAATAGAGTGGAATTTGAAACGGTCCTAATGGCAGCGGTGTTAACTTTTCACATGTCCGTGTTATCCAATTTATCTCATACTGAAAAAAATATGATGCGAAAATAATCAATCTAAATTCAACAACAGATGCAGGAACATTTTAAAGAGATGATTTAGATAATATTTGAAGGTCTCCTCGAGCCTTCTCCACTCTCTTCTGATAAAGCCAATTTCATGACAGGCGAAGAGTAATTTTGCATATGTTCAATTAAGAGAGGATGCATTAAGTCAACTGAACGATTAAGCAACCAGTGCTTTTTTATCATGAATACAAATGCATATTACCTTCTGGAGAAAGTTGGAAGAAACAAGAACGAATAAAAGGTACACAATACAAATTTACAGACCTTAGATCAATGTCAAAAATATTTTCAGCTTTTGAAGGATAGCTTTCCATTTGAAAATATTTGAATCATCACGCACTACTCTTTTATTTTTGCCTGCTTGAATTCAGAGCCTACAAAGGGTCTCTAAAAGGAGCTTTTAAGAAAAGATAAAAGGTCTATGGGAAATGCTGGAATAGTTTAAAGCTTGGGCGTGATGACCCACCGGGGGTCGGTAAATTTCCTGGTAGGCCCCTTAAAACTTTTTTATGTGAGCCCCTTGGATTTTTCTTCCCTTTAAGCTTTTATGATTTGTAACATCAGATTTGCGAGAAAAAACTAGTGAAATAAAGTCCTACGCTGCCTCCGCGACACTCATTATCATGATTTTCCCGGCCCATGGATATTCCTACCACGCCCCTGGTATAATGTGATGATATGAAAAAATTCATAGCTCTTTAAGATATCGCTAATAAGTAATTTTTTAATTTTAGTCGCGAGAACACAGAAGTGGCTAAATTCATATGCTGGGTAAGATCGTCCTATTACCATACCTGTGCAACGCCTGAGAAAATCAGCATTGTCGTGTCGATTCCATCTGAACCCAAAATATCCTCCCGGAATCTTCCATTGGCCTTTGTGTCTTGATATCTATAACCGTAAAGAATTAGAAATTAGGAAAGGTCTTTGGAACCTTGTGAGAAAATATGAACCTATTAAATCCACAACTGGGTATATATTTTTCATCGTGTTCTCTCGGACCCTTATGACGTTTTATGCGCTGAGCAGTGTCAAACGAAAAAGCTTTTAGTATGTCGTGAAATGTTTGCTTTTTTCAAAGCCATTTTCAAGTTCTGTACCGCCAAAAAATTTTTCACTATCATTTTTGCACCCCATGTACACGCTCTAACTTCCAATGGAAGAAGGGAATGGCCTTTGATACTAAACTTTATGCTAGACTAGACAACATATCCATGCAACATTACATGTGTTTAAGGGCTTAGGAACAAAAGCTTTAGTCAGGATTGTAAAAAAGAATCTACGCCATGCCTAGAAATTTCTAGCAATTCCTGGTTAAAGGGCAAATCCTGTTTAAGATTGATCAAGCCTTGTTTCACTAACGTTAAACAAATAATTATAAGCTAAGAACGTAAAATGCATATTTATCACCGATATGAATTACCATAAAATAAAATATGAAATAAATTGAATGAAAAACTGAAACAATGAAACACCTCTAATGAAAGGTAGAAAAAGTCACAAACATAAAATCAATATTTTAAAATGAATTTTCGTGAAATGCAAACCTGATGCCTGAAAATGTTGTGGTGACGCATCCCATTGGATTACATGTTTGCTTTTCGCCTGTATATGTCATTAAGTAGGATGTTGGAAACTTTGGCGGAACTTCGAATGGTTGACATGGGTTTTCAAGGCTCTCTGGACAAGCAGGACCATCGAAGCAGGCACATCTAAACAAAAATTTAAGTTAGAATTTGAGGGATTATCATTGAGAGGTGTGCGAGGATGGCTCAGTTGTTAGAGGCGCTGACTACAGACCCAAGGGCTCGAGTCCCTGACATGACCAAACTTTCACCCAGAGTGGGGAGGGTCGCCAGCTCTCTGTAATTCCAGGCGCAGGAATCACGAGGTGTGGTCACATCGAAAGGAAGGACCAGGA